TTGGGAGTGGTGCATTTGTGACTATATTTTATACATTTAAATTGTAACTCACGCCCGGTGCAGCCTAGCTTGCACTCGACCCAATAGAGTCAAAGACTTCCAAGGGCTCTCACGCCCGACATAGTTATCCCCGCCCCGCGCCCAGTGCTACCAAGTCAGAGACTTCTAAGGGCATTCATGCCTGACGCAACCATCCATGCGCCCGATGCCATATTAGTAAAGGTCCATACAAGCTACTATCTAATATCGCGCTCAACGTGACTTTTTGCACGCCCGACGCCATTCATTGAGAGGCCTCCATTTCAGATCACATCCAACGAGACTAACCTCGCGCCTAGCGTGATCGTGAAATGGTCACCCTTGATGCATGCCCATCCAACACCAAGAAGGCACGCTCGACACAAATTCAAAATCCAGCATACAAAGTTCAAAAATTTCCAGCAACACCTACAATTTCAAACAAACCAACAACATGCAAACCATGGAATTCAACAACCAAACTCTATGGAATCCAAAAACATCCTCAGATCCCCCATGCACTCATCCAGTACATCAAAATCACCCAAAAGCCCCCGAAAATGTCCTGAAACCCCGAAGGTGGGAAAAATCCCTCAAATCAACGGTTCAATCCCCAATCTCATGCATCATTTGAGTTTCTAAACTCATATGCAACAAACCAATAACGTTCTAGCTTCTGTCACCTGAAAAGAGGAAGAAGGGGAAAAAAATCACAACACTCAGCCTATTGACTTCAATCACCTAAATTCAAGTTTCCTAACCTGAATTCCAAGTAAAGACAAAAGAGATTAATAAAATTCAAATAGAAAATTTTGGAAGAAAAAAGAACTCACGAATCTATAGTCATTCTCTCTAAAATTTCTCTCTATATTTCTTTGAGAATAAGCTTACAGAACTTCGATCTCAAAAAAGATCTTATATACCATTCTCTCTAAAATTAACTAAACTCTAACTAATTAACTTACCACATAGAGTGTTACATTACAATCAACATTAACTTTAAACTATCAATAAAATCCATCTTTTATCAATGAAACTAAGTAATTTTGAAAGTTGTTAAAACTTCGGAATTTTAAATAATTATGTTTTAATATTTAATATTTTGTTTTATAATCTGTAGTTAAATACATTATGTAAGGCACCAAATAAATGCTAGATTTACATACAGAGTAGAAATTGAGAAACTTTAACCATAGCCCACTATCTTAGCTGGAGGCAGGAGACACGCGTCACCATCAGCCGAAATTATTGACTCGTACACATTTTAAGGATGACAACAAGTCTCTGCATGTGCTTATTTTATTTGCATTGTTTTCTAACACAAAATATAAATTAATACTATAAATAATTAAAACAAACGTGAAATATCAAATCTCATTTTGAACACCCAAAAAAAAATGAAATATCAATCTAGTGTTAAACGAGTCATTGTTACTCATAATTGAGTTTGTTAATAACCAAGCAACTTATCCTACATTCCACGTGTCATAATTAACTTAATCCTGATCTTCTCATGGCGTATCAATAACTCAACAATCATTTGTGATTTTGGTTCAATAATGTTCGTGATTAATATACCCATAATATGCAGATTAATGGACAATTATCCCCTCATCATTAATTTTTCTTAAGATGAGGAAGGCATAATAAAATACCTCAAATCAAAATACATAATACATTATCGATAACTTTAAACTTCTTAATTTAAAATAAGGTTTTATAACTTATAAATGTAATTAAATTTTATTGTAGTTCTAAAATATTTTAATAAATTTTATTTTTAAGAATACTATATGTCATTATTCAATAGTAATGTTACATCTATGTGTAATATTGTACTTATTGGAGATACAATTATAACTTCTTCTCCTGTCTTCTTGATCTTACCCATTGGTAGCAAGTAACTTAAGGCCTTCAAAGGATAGAAATATCTGCAAATATATTTTGATACTTAAGTAAAGTTTCAGTTTAAAGCAATACATGTGTAATATATGAGTGAACAAAGTAATAATGAATAATACTAACCTCAAGATATGCCTCCTATTTATACATATCTTATTAAGCTTATGGGTATCACACATAATTATTAATTAGATAATTTGACCTTAATAAGGATTATACCATGTTATTTAAGTAATCCTTATGTGCTGATCAAGCAGACGGTGTATTCTACTTATTAGGGGGCCAAATATGAATGAAGGAGCATTTGGCCTTGTGGGAGATTGAATGTACATGATAGTATTTTGGGATTAAGGGTATATATATATATATATATATATATTAAGTCTTTTTATATTTATTTTATTCAATAACTCATTTTCTATATTAAACTTTAACAATTTAATTATTAAATTAAAAATTCTTAATGTATAAATAAAATCTATAATTTTTTTAAAAATTAAAAATTATTTGATATTCTATTTCATTAATTCAAATCAATGAATAAAATATTTTTATGATTATCCATCGATTTGAATTAAAGTAATAAAATGTCATGTAGTTTTCAAATTTTTTAAAAATTTGTAAAGTTTATACATTAATTTTTTTTAATTAAATAGTTAGATAATTAAAATTTAATGTAAAATATAAATTATTGAGTAAAATAAATTTTAGTAAGCTTACTCTTAAATTTTAAATTCCTCTCTTTTTTTGTGGAATTTCAAATTCTATTAATTTTAGTTAATTAAAATGTTTCATAAAATGAGAGGATTTAAAATTCTCTTAAAATAATTTATCCAAACAATATAAATTAGAGTGAAGTATTTTAATTTCTTTTAAAAAAATAAATTACCTCACTAAAATGCTTTATCCAAACAGACTATAAGAGATTGTCACGTATTTGACCTTAACCGAGGAATCGTAAATATGTTTGCACGTACAATTCAAAGAACCAACATCACCCGTGGATGACTATTATTCATATAAATGCATTCAACATTCAACCTGACTATCTTGTTGTACAACATGGCTAAGATAGACCAAGCATTTTTATGTGATCTCATGTAAAATGATACAACTTTTGATAGAGCTACTTCTTTTAAACCTTGTAATTCGTTCTTTTCCTTGTGATCTTCCTTGTCATGCATGGTAAGCAGTAGAAAAGTATTTAGCTTGTAGAACATAAGTTGAAAAGTATTAAAGTAACTGTTGAAACATGAAGAATAGGGTTGATTCAGTTTGATAAATAGGATAGGCCCAACAAAAAAGGATTTTTTAAACTTGTGACGTCCATAAAATGAAAATTGTAAATCTCATGACTCGCATTATCCATTGCATGAGTCCTTTATTTGCGGTACAAAAATTTCCTTGATCACACATCAAATCTTTTTCTCGAATAGCATTATGGTGGTGTGGTTCCTGCTATTATTCTAATAAAAGAAAAGATCTTCACCTATGCTCATCATACAAGAAAATTAACCAAGTTATAGCTTCATGTGACATACATATGCCTAGATAAATGGATATGAAAATGAGTAAAATATTATTACTGACATTGGAGAATAATTTTTACTGCATATGCTTTTAGACCTCTAGTTATTTTCACAGGACTGTAAGCAAAATACAGAGTGACAAATAACAAAAGAAACATGTAGTTTGAAACAAACAATTATACCAATCATACAAACTTCAAGAATTCAAAAAACAAACTAGATAACCCTCAAAACTGTGAGTATCATGGAACAAATTTTGTTCATCCTCTCGCCACCTCATCTTACCCAAGGTCAAGAGTAAAATGTGTTACAACATGTTTTTCATAATCATGTAATTTATAATATATGTAATTATGTGTGTTATTTTATGTTGTTTTTTGCTTGTGTTGGAGTGAGGGTTAGATTTGAGATAACCCTAGACTTAAGTTATAAAGAATATGGCTAGTGTGAGAGTTGATCTCGAGAGGGTTGAGGTATATAAGGAAAAAAATTTGAAAGGTGAACCCAATAAATTCATAATTCAAGTTTTCTAGACAGAAATTACAGAGAAACTCTATAAAACTCCAAATTGTTGTTCAGGCTTTTAAGTGTCTTTGATGGAGTATATTTTTCTTAAAGCTAGAGATTTGTGGATCTTGAAACTAAAAGAAGATTGTAGAATTGAGATTCTTGATGGTCAAGGTTGAGGAAGCTTTGGTAAGAGTTGCAGAAAGAGATCTTCTTCTACATCAATTTCTTCTATCTAGGGAGTTTAATCAGGGTAAGTGAAACCTAATTCATGTTATTCAATTAATGACTCACTAGTTTATCCATTGATTCACTGACTTAATGTCTTGACCGAATTGATCATTGGTACAATTTTAATAACATTGGCTATAACTACAAAAAAAAAAAAAAAGAGTTAAATGCAACCAAGTGTGGTTTGCTAGCTTACTCATCCTTAAAAAAAATAAGTTGATATTTAGAGCATATCCAATAATGACATGTCTTATTATGAGAGTTAAGAGAGTTCAATAATAGTCTTTAAATAAAAATAATTAATAGTTGAAATTAAAACTTAATTATAAATACTCACTCACCACAAAATTATTACTACTCCCATAATCTCACATTCACAACTAACTTCATCACAACCACCATTATCATCACAATTATCACAATTGTTGTTGTTATCACCTCTCTCAGTATTAGTAACACATGTCATAATTATAATAGGGTCGAAACCTACTTTCAAGTGGATTTCTTGTCCTCTGTTTTCAATTATGAATAGGGTCGTAGAATGCTCAATTAAAGAAAGTGATCATAATTTGTTTATGGGAATATAAAAAGAAAATCAAAATACGTAATAGAATAATTATGCAAAGTATATGAAAATATAAACTTTGTGGCAAACTGTTTAACCTCAGTCATGGTAGCAAGTTAAGATTAGGAAAGTTTGGAAAGAATATCATGGTAGAGACATCTTCCAGATCAGAGAGAGAAGGAGTAGTTGTTAAAATGGATGGGTCTATTATCGTAAAACCTTGGTCTTCATAATGGGTTGTCCAATGCGCAAACAGCCCAGTGGAAGATGTAGCCCGAGTTTACCTCTACCATTTTGGGCCTGGTAGCTTTTCTTCCCAAATAAAGGCCCTTCACAGATGAGTAGGTGGTGTGGTGAGATGACGTTGAGAGGAGCAGTGTTGTGATTTTGGGTATATAGTGGAATAAATAATTGGAGTAGAGGGGCGGCAGGGCGGGGCAGGGCAGGGCATAGGTTAAGGTTATGAATTATCATATTGGGAATTAGAAATCGGAAAAGGAAGAAGGGATCTTGATTCTTGAGGCAATTGGAGGATGGATCAATCGTTCCTGGTGATGCTATCGAATCTCCTCCACCTCCACAACTCCCTGGACCCCACCACCTCCCTCCTCTCCGACGCACTCTCCTCCCCCACCTCCCTCCTCTACTCCTCCTCCATCGCCCCACTCCTCTTCTTCACAATAGCATCAGTACTATCCTACGTCGCATCCACGCGCCCCTCAAACTCTGACTCTAACCCAAACCCCTCCTCCTCCTCCTCCGACTACTCCGTCTCGGCCTTCCGCGCCCTCTCCACCGAACACATATGGTCCCTCGAAGCACCCCTGCGCGACGCCCACTGGCGCTCCCTCTACGGCCTCTCCTACCCGGTCTTCACAACGGTCGTCGACAAGCTCAAGCCCCACATCGCCCTCTCCAACCTCTCCCTCCCCTCCGACTACGCCGTCGCCATGGTCCTCTCGCGCCTCGCCCACGGCCTCTCTGCCAAAACCCTAGCCTCCCGCTATTCCCTCGAACCCTACCTCGTCTCCAAAATCACCAACATGGTCACGCGCCTCCTCGCCACCAAGCTCTACCCGGAGTTCATTAAGATCCCCGTGGGGCGGCGCCGCCTCCTGGAAACCACCCAGGCCTTCGAGGAACTCACCTCCCTCCCCAACATGTGCGGCGCCATCGACACCCCCCCCGTCCACCTCCGCTCCAGCCCTAACCCCAACACCTACCGCTGCCGCTACGGCTTCCCCTCCCTCCTCCTCCAGGTCGTCTCCGACCACCAGAAGATCTTCTGGGACGTCTGCGTCAAGGCCCCCGGCGCCACCGACGACGCCACCCACTTCCGCGACAGCCTCCTCTACCACCGCCTCACCTCCGGCGACGTGGTCTGGGACAAGCTCATGACCGTCCGCGGGCACCACGTCCGGCCTTACGTGGTGGGAGACTGGTGCTTCCCCCTCCTTCCGCTCCTGCTGACCCCGTTCTCCCCGAGCGGCATGGGCACCCCTGCCCAGAACCTCTTCGACGGCATGCTGATGAAGGGAAGGTCGGTGGTGGTGGAAGCCATTGCTCTTCTTAAGGGCCGGTGGAAGATTCTTCAGGATTTGAACACCGGGGTTCATCACGCGCCTCAGACCATCGTCGCTTGTTGCGTCCTGCACAACCTCTGTCAGATTGCCAGGGAACCCGAACCCGACCTCTGGAAGGAGCCTGATGAGACTGGGCCTCCTCCCAGGCTCATGGACAGTGAGAAGGCCTTTTATTACTTTGGGGAAACACTCAGGCAAGCCCTCGCCGATGATTTGCACCACAAGCTTTCCTCCAGATAGTTCTTTTTTCTTATTTAACAACCCCCCTCACTCTCTGTCTTATCTTATTATCCCTCCTATGTTTCACTACTTTTCAATAATTTCTCCACTACTAACATTGTTTTGTATTCATATGATGAATGTTTAACTCTAATGCCATGCCTTCCTGTGTCAAATTACTTGCGTTTGTTTCTCAATTGTCATGCAAACTATTCAGCTGGTTCTTTTCAAAGTCTTGGATTTACATCAACAAGAACCGGGAATTAACATGACGATATTATAGTATAACAAAGTTATGAAAACAAGTATAATACAATCAACCAATGTTTGTTTTGGTTTCATTTTGACGTTTTATTTTAACGACTGGAATGAATTCAAATTCTTTACATGTTTAGTTCAGAATATTCAGGCTGAATTACACACTTTGTATGTAAATTCACAAAACCTCTTCTTGATGTGCATGTAAACTCCTCTAACATGTATACAGTTACAACCGTTGTAAAGCTGAATCAGTCTAGTAATTTAGTAAATAGCAATGAAATGAAACCTTCTTAAGTTAAAAAATGTAACAAGGACGGGATCCGGATCACATGCTGCACCTAGTGCAGTTCTCTACTGATAGTTCAAAATATTTTAGCATATCAATTCTCAGGACTTCTTAAAATGAATTTTTTTTTGAAAGGCTAATATTGTCTGCTCATTTTAAAATCAACATCCCACAAACACGTTTCCTAGAAGAGACCAACTACGGAAATGCAGCAACTAAATGCCCATCGATGTGCTATCAACCAAGTAATACAAATACTGTGTGCAATATGGCAAAGCAAATATCGGAAGTTGAAATAGAATTGAAAGAAACGACACGATTGACTCGGATACTGTTCAGAGATTTTATCGGTATGAGCATCGTGGTGGACATTTTTTAATCTTTTCAAACAAAAATGGAATCGTTTGGCAGCTTCCACTAATTTTTTAGTTTCTTAACCAGCTAAAATGGCCATCAAGCACACCAAATCATGGTCACTCAAAAAGTGATTGATCCAAGGAATGTAAAACACACATACACACGCAAAATATAATTATTAAAAAAAAATGAAGACTCGCAAATGTATCGTGTATACAAAAGCATTCATTAATACAGGTGACAGGAAATTATTACCACCCATCGAGGCAAAGCTAATCTAAATCTACAATTCATATATTAATTCTTAAAACCAACAATCTGTAGACTATTTTACAATTTGAGCTCCTTCAAAAGAATCACAGTTGCATTTCTTTTCATTATGAACCTGTACTTTAAATGGGTGTGCTAGCAAGAGCTTCAGATAGCAACAACACAATAATCAGTTGCAGCGCGCACACTAGACACAAATTCAGATATGATTGAGCCACATACAATTCAGCATATCCATAGGGCTTCTGCTTTAAATTTTTATTGAACCTTTGCAAGGCTTCGGCTAGATACACCGTGTAATAATTTGACAAACCCAAGAAAGCTTAGTTTCCCATCAGTGTGGCGTATCCAGTCATGAAGAACAACATGAACAGGGATAGAGGGACCAAGTCCAAGTTCCTAAAACAACATTTTGAAGAAATATGATGCTGATTAGCCATATATACTCATGAACTAAAAATTACAAAATTATATTTTACAAATCTTCATGGCTGCCTAAGATTAAAGAGTCACATTGACAGATCCAGTACTAATGAGTTGCAGGTAAGTGCAGATTCTTTATATGTGGCAGAAACCAACAAAGTGTATATGCATTAGATTAAGCTATCAGATGCAGTTGCTCTGTTATTTTTGGAAGTCCTTAGTTGAATTTGGTTAAGGGTGTCTCAATACCTCTTCTTCATCAATTATGGGTAAAGGGTAGCGCGTGGACCAGCCTCTTTATGGAAAAATGGTAGATTGGAAAGCTTCGATATACATTTACTTTTTTGATTCTTTTGTTTCTTTACTTTTCTCTACTGCCTATGAAGGATTATTTATCCTCCGTCAGCTGTAATTTCTCTTCTCTAATAAATTTGCTGTAACTACCCCGCTCTCCCCTTGAAATAAAATAAGAGTTAAACCCTAGATAATTTACAAGCACGCACAAATATATGCAAGTTCTAAAGGAAATAATGGTAAATGCAGCATTAAGTTGGACTGTACGAACAATTACTAAGACTGAAGTGTTTTTATTTATTTATTTATTTTTTTTAAACTTACTGAAGCAAGCTCTTCAATGACAATAGCCCGGTTTCCATCTTTCTCAAAAAGTTCATATGCACAGCGAGCATGTTGTTCCCAACGATCAAGAGCTTCAAGTTGATGCACACTTAATGCAGCAGCACAAAATTCTTCAAAATCCATCCTTCTATATTGCAATGAATTCAGCTGTCATAAAAAGAGTAATAGGTAAGACAGGAATAAGTCCAATTAAGGGATATCTACTGTTTACACACACGGAACAAGGTATTAATGTATTGTTACCGAGGAAAGAAAGTCAGGAATGCGAGACTCTTTCATTGCATCTGTTGCATATTTTATCAGGGCCTGCCAGGAAAATATGAATGAGAATAACTTAAGGAATCTAACAAAAACATAAACTTCATACATGCTGATGTGACAACCAACCTTGTTGACGTTCTCTAAAGATATGCTGCCATTTTTGCTTGGTTCTAGCAGAGCAAATTGCCCCCTCAGATAATGGAGTTCATCAGCAGTCAATGTTTTTGACAAGGCCTGCCAAAGACAAATAAAAGTAACTTGTACGATTAAAACTGCAGACGTATTTTAAGTATGAATTACATTCTAGTGTATCAAGGACGTAAAAGTCTGAAGTCAGAACTTTCAATTCAACTGCAGCATACATACATATACCTGATACAAGTTAGTATCACACACACCAGCTGAAAAATGTCTATATCCAACACAGCTCCAAAAAATATACCACTCTGTTAGGATACAGATATTTTTAAAGAAAATCAAATCCCACAAGTTTACTGGAGGGATATAAATTGAAAATTCTTGCGGTCAGAAGATTATATCCTATCCTTTTCAAAACATGAGACTTGGGGATGAAGTTGAAAATACTTCATTCCAATTTCCACAGGAAGAAAAGAAAGCACACAAAATAGGTTTGACTTTTCTTTCAACAATGAACATACGCACCCTTAAGGCAGCCTTCCGTAAGGATGATGATCTCATATATGTCTTCATGAGCTTAAATATTAAAATATCAAGTGGAACTTTTACATCATTGTAATTCCGTATCCAAGGATGACCTGCAAGCACAATATTATTGCTGAAAGCTTGAAAAATGTCTCTTACTAGATGCCATTGATGTTAGAGGCAACAAAAATAACTCACTTAGAGCCTGAGCAGCAGATATTCGCTTCCGAGGGTCCTTATTCAATAGGCGTTTTACAAAATCCTTTGCTTCTGAAGATAAAGTTGGCCATGGTGTTTCATCAAAGCTTGGATCAGCTTTCAAAACTGCCCTAAAAATACCAGACTCTGTTCGAGCCCAAAATGGGCGACTACCACATAATAGAATATATGCTATCACGCCTATACTCCAAACATCAGCCTCTGTGCTATAGGATCTATGGAGAACTTCGGGGGCCACATAGTATGCACTTCCAACAATATCATTAAGCCTTTCATCTGTAAGATGTGATACAAGAAATAAGAACATTCCAAAACTCTCATGAGGCAGAGGATACTATTACCATACCAACTACCAAGTAAGGACTTAAGAAGGAAGACCTGGTCTGACAAAATCTGATAACCCAAAGTCTATAGCTTTCAACTCAGAATTTTCATCCTTTTTAGTATACAGAAAATTCTGAAATGAAAAATGCCGGGGAGTTAGAGTTGGACAATATGCAATGGTATCCAAAATGAAATTCATATACAATGGGTCAATTTAACCTTGAATTTTAGATGTATTAGTTATTCATATTATACAAACAAGGAGTTTATACGGCAAAACAATTTCTTCATGGAATATTTTTGCTATTATTTATAATTTACTTCGTTTTTAAATACTAAAACCAATATTAATTAAACTAGTTTAATGCTTAAGTACCAAAGTGACTAGATGAAACTGCAAAAAAGTTAGGTCACATACTCATGGCTTATATTGACGTATATATATACCACAGCAAAATGATGTTTGAACCCAAAAGGGAGAAAGAAAATCAAACAAAATCAACAGAAAGACTAAATTAAAGGCTATCTAGAAATTCCAAAATCCAGTTTAGTTAGGACTCCTTATGGAAAAAAGTTAGCAAGCTTTATCAAACATTTACCACCTTTGCCCACCAAAAAAGTAAAAATAAAAGTGACTTTATAGGCTTCTTCCAATTCTAAAGTAAGCACCAAGTCCCTGTGACACACGAATTATGAAGAGAGGGGTTTCTTTTGGGACAGGGTGCAAAATTAAGACAGTAAAATAGGAGAAACCGATCCATGCCTAGCTAGTGTATTTAGACGAGTCTGTGATAATAGGCTTTAACCATATGAAAGAAATGTAAAGGAATATGCTCACCTCTGGCTTAAGATCTCGGTGCACCACACCCTGAAGATGACAAAATGCAACAACATTTAGTATCTGCACCATGACAGCCTTTGCATCATCTTCCGAGTATTTACCTCCTCTAAGGAAGAAATAAACCATATAGTTAGTTACTGTTACAATGTGCAATTCCAAAGCTCAATTTTTTTTATTATTAAAAAAGTTAAAGCTGGTCTTTTAGGAAATTACCTTGACAATATCATATCTAAGAGCTCCCCACCTTCACATAACCTGAAATGTCCATAGGATCAAGCTAATTACAAATGCGCTAAAAAGCAAAAAAAAGAAATATAATAAGCAATGGACATTATATCAACAAAAAAAAAAAAACTTATAACCTAATACATCATACTGGTGTCACTAGAAAAATTGTATCCAAGAACAATAAGATATTTTATTTGAAAGAAAAAAGTTGCTAAACGTCACAAGGATGGCCAGAGAGCACTACTACTACAAAACAAATTGAAGAGAGAACAAACATCCCAAACTTACTCCATTACAATGTAGACATTGTCATGGTCTTCAAATGCATCATAGAACTGTATTAGATTGCTGTGTCCATTCAAAGCTCGCAATATTTTCACCTCCCTTCTAACATCTTCAATAGCAATTGCTGTTGTCATCTGGCAACAAAAGGACAATTCTTATACACAAATCACCAAAACGACATAAAACCTCAATTTTTGTCTACCAAACGACCCAAACGAGTGGAAACTCAACCACATAATGCAGTATTGCCGTGTGTACCAAGTGATACACAGCACTAAGAGGATATATTTAAGGATTAAAGATTAACCTTTGCTTTTGGTATGCCCTTAACAGCCACTTGTTGACCCTTGAGTTCACCCTTCTTGAACCTAGCAGAACAAGTATACCCAAAATGCCCTCGACCCACTTCTTCACCAACTTCCAACCTACTAGTGAACTCTTTGGAGAACCCAAACCTCTTATCCAAATCCGCCGCGCCACCGCCACCCTCCTCCCCCTCCTCCGGAATCGCCGTCGCGGCCTTCTTCCCCTGCCGCCGCGCCAGCACCGCCCTTATGTGCTTCGCCGGCGACGGCGGCGGGAAGGGTCGCCGGAAAAACCTCCTCGGCGTGGAGCTCGCGCTCCTGCTCCCTCCCGCCGGCGCCGGAGACTTCTTCAGAAAGCGTGCGGGGCTCGGACTGTAGAACGGGAAGAACGGCGACTGTTTCCCGGCGGCGACGTCATCTTTCCGGCGGCCGTTGTCGGCGGCGCCGGGACTGAGCGGGGCCTGTGAAGAAGGGTCGGCTTCGGTTTCGCGAAGCGCGTAAGGGTTCGGCTTCTGCGGCTTCGAAGTGCAAACCCCCATTGCTGAACGATCACAGAAGCTGCGCTACTCAATCATTGGTCACGCCATTGCGGATAAAACTTTTCTGGGTTTTGTTGTTTTCTGCTAAAGATTCGAACTTTGCAGAGGGTTTTAAAGAGGGTAGAACTTAGAAGCTTGGGAGGGAAGTGGATTTGTGGGGAGTGAAAGAAGAAGAAGAGGTAGAAGAAGGGTAATCTCAGGGGGCACGTGGCATGCACGTGAGTATTGGATTTTGGGTGTTCATTGAATTGAGGAGTGAAAGGGTCTGAAATTGAATTAACGAGGAAGAGAAGAGGATGATATTGAGAACAGTGATGCTTAGGTGGGAAGATGGCAAAGGGGGGTTGTATTGTTTGTTGCCACAGGTTTGGCTACATATTGTTCCCCTTTTGACTCATCACCAACATTGCCGTACCAAGAGAAATGTAACATTATTATAGGAATAAATAATTCTTTTTTTATTAAAATTAGTTGTTATTGTCATAATGAATGAGGCAAAGACTGCAAAAACTGATGAACAAATCGAAAAGGACCATAAATCGTTAAGTAAATGTATGTGTGTGTTTTATTGGATTATTAGGAAATTAGAGAGTGAAATATTAACAATTATAATTGAGAGAGAGAGAGAGGGAACCTTCAATTTCCTCTTCCTCCTTTTTTTTTTCATATATTTGTTGACTGAAAAAAAATACCTTGTTTATTCATATCCTTCGCTAGTACCACTTGTTATCAGCTTGAAGTAAGGTCCAATTTAAGAGCATTGATATATTCTTGATTTCATTAACCACTTATAATAAATAGTTGGGCATGCTTCATCACTCTTTGTTTGGCTTAAACAAGAAACCAGGCCAAATGTTCTATGCCTTCCCAACTGTGTCAAGTGAACAATAGCAACACACTTTTAATATGATTCTAGTAGATAAGGAACACAGAAATGGCACTAAATCACTTTTTGAAAAGCAATTTTTACTTATAAAACAATAAAGACAGAGAAATAAAACATGCTGTCAAAATATGTATAAACCCCCCCCCCC